GCATCGAAATACGAGGTGTGATTGACAACTATGTCATGTTGGGAAATGGTTGTAGTTAGTTCATGCTGAGAGTGTTGCACCTGGAAGTGAAACAGAATATTGTCAAAATAATTGTCAGTATTTAAGTTAATAATTTAAATACTCGTGAAACATGCAATAGGATACACAATCGTAGATACAATGAGAGCATGTTTCCAACAATCTTGAAAAAAATCGAAAGAAAGCGACAGGAAAATAACTTTCACACTGACACTGCTAAATTACTAGCATCCTTTGTCAGAATGATACAACCAATATCATATATATCAATATCATGGTTTAATCATTCTCTGCTCATATTGGAGGTACTGTGGGGGAAAACTGTGTCGAATTATCCGACACTTTTTTGAGTTGTTCGACATTAAAATAATTGAATAGACTTCAATTTCGATGTATGTGATATGTAGGCAACTCAAACTAGGCTAGTATAAGTACACCAGTGGTATTATATTGGCGACTGTGCATCAACAGGACCAGGTACTCTATTCTATATATATCAGACGTTCGTGAAAATAGAATACTGCATTCAAAAGTCATACATTGTACCGATATAAATTACAGGCATGTAAATGAACATATCAAAACAGTATGCGAACTTACAGTCCCGATATTTGCACCCAACCACAGTCAACTGACATGCTTCTTATTACGCTGTCCCCTAAACAAAATAAAAACATGTAAAACAGTTTAAACTTTCAATGACCAGATGAGCTTTTATAAGTTATGTCAATAAAATGGGAATATGATTTGTTGTTAGTGATTAAAATTTGTGTACGTTGTGGCCATTCTATTTTAATGTGTGTTATCAGTTTGTGTTATACATCGAAATAAATAAAATAAACAGCCAATGTCAGTAGAGAAGTCAGGATGTTATAGAATCGAATTGCGTATAGGTAAGTCTCTAACGAATGATTTTTGGCTCATTTTTGGTACTTTTTTTTGAACTGATGTACGTCTCCAGCTAGCCTACAGGGGTCTCAGATATTCGTGTTACAAAGAACTCAGAAACCCATGGCCAGACACAACGTTTTCAATGATTTGTTGAATAGGACAGAGTAACAAACTAAATACCAAAACACCACGTCAGCAGCACACATACGCGAAACACTGACAAAAAGCGTACGAACACAAGACGTCAAGTTTACTCAACTGTACTCTTTATTCATCAAACATTCACGCACAAAAGGTGGCGCCATTCACTGATCACCACAAATCTGATTAATATGCGCTGTCAAGTAATAAATGAACTCAAGGTCTCAACACACAACAAGTTATCATTAAAACATAAATATCTCAAAAATATCTTGGTAGCACTAATTTTCTAGATAATGTGTGCAGTGTGCTTCATTTCATTGGATCTTTACTTTTTACTTACCCTATCCACAGGCATACTAAGACGTTTAGAAGTTTTAAACACTCAATTACAGGTGTAATTAATTCATAAATTCACCAATGTACATAGGTGCATCAAGTAAGAGGTAACCAGTAACAATAGTAGAGAACGAGGGGGGGGTAGGGGTTAGGGCATGGCATATTTGACAGTCACTTGAAAAGTTGCTATTGCATTAAAAGGTCCACTCCAACTAATATCGCGAGTGTCAGTAATACGCGACTGTTACCATACACAAATTAACTTCTTGAACTCTTTTTCATCTTCGTATTTTACAATCGATATCCTTATATTGAAATCTACTTCAAGACATTTATTTTAGAAGCATAGCAATACAATAAGTAGCTGTGTTGGCATAGTTTGCTCAAAACAAATTGAAGTATTGCCAGCAATAATTAGTACATCTTGTTTAGCATACATATTTTCCCCGCATCATTTTCAATAACTAGTTCTCAGGATCTACAGCAGTAATAAATAAGCAGAAATCATTTTGTTGCCATGTTTTCAGACACCGCCATATCACATTTTTTATTAGGACGACCCAAGTTCAAACTAGAGAGTGTAGAAACAAATGGCCTTACAACTAATCAACAAATCTTCCTCCCCCCGCCTCTAAAATTGTATTCATAATTGAACAACCAAGAAAGCAGCAACTATCAGACTGCATCCGGAAAACAACCATTGCAAACATGAATACCCATTCCAGTATACCATTCAGCAATAATGGTTTATATACCCATTTGAATGCGTACAACAAGCTTAGCCAATTTTTGAAAAAGACTTGTATTTTTTTTGACCAACCACTCATTTTATTTATTGTTGAGTGAGGACGCCATTTACTAAAGAAAATGATCTTTTGAAGAAATGAAACCACGGTTAGCAACCACCATTGAACAGATCTAGCAGCGAACATCAAGTAATACCTTAGTGTAATGAAGCATTACAATTCACTTGCCTAAAGATGAATGCGACAGGACCTTAAACTTGGACCCATGGGGCTACTAGTTTAGCACCAACACAATCTCTTTGAATTAACATTACTTTAATATGCATTTAGATCGGGTTAAATGGCTAGGTAGGTTTACTGTATATCAACCTAAACGCTGAATGTTTTCCCAAGGCAACCTTTTTCTTTAATTCGACTATAATATCAATTTTACAGTTTCGCAATTTCGATAATTTCCACCAATGATTTTGGAACAATTGCCTGTAGATAAATCACAATAACCGATACGTTATTTATTTATTGAGTAGCATGTATACAACCAACTGATAAGAGTTATCAGTTAAGAGATATCAGTCGTCGCGCTACACAAAGTACAGGCTACAATTTGAGCTAATCTCATATGTTTGCATATCGGATAGACCCAATTGCCTTTACGTATGGGAGGAAACAGTTGTTAGCACGGGTTAAGGAACGCCCAAATTTGTTAAAAATTTAAAAAAATCTTCAGTCATTTTAATTATGATTACTAAGTACAGTCTACGGTTATAAAACAAAACCAAAGCAAGTTCAAGTGCAGATGGCAAAATATTAGGAAGTTTGATAATCGATAGTTTGTTTTTATTTTCTCAAGAACCGTTGTCATGTCAGAAATGGCATTTCTAAAGTAATAGTTGTTTCCTTGCCCGTGCTAAGCGTTCCCACACGTTTTCCCAGCAAGGGCTAAGGTATTTGACCTCTCCTCTTTGAGCCTGTACTAAAGAGCTGTGCATGAACAATGCTAGTATTCATTAATATATTAGTCATTATATTTGTTATTTCGGATGCCATTTCTGACATGACAACCAACACGAGGACATCTAGAAGTTTTTTTTTCGAGACAAATTTAACTAAAGATGCGAATCTGTGCTACTTTCTAATAATCTGCAATTTGCACTTTCATGAAATAATGGCGTTCTTTACACCTTTTTAAGAGTAATATTTTTACCATGTAATCTATTCCCCGCAAATATCAATGATAAAGCTGTCAAAATGTAATGATACCATGGTTAAAATGTTTCTGTTCTTATGCGATAATAGACGACGTTCCATAGTAGATGTAACGGCACATTTCACCAACAGCTGTATCTAAACGTTTGATGTTATCTGGTGTGAAATCGTCGGTGATGTTT